AAAGCTTTTTTATATCTAGTGCTAAACAGTGTTCACTCGGCTGTAGACAGAAGCAGACCACTCTCAATGTGTGCCACGTGATCGTCTGTTTACTCGGCAGCAACCATTGTGTGGTCCTCCTCATTGTTCTTCATCAGCAGCGTCGTCGACTTTGGAAACCAACCGTTTCGTGATGAATGTGTGAGTGCTGACCACGTTTTGCGTCCATTGTTGCAATGGAAGCGCTCTGACTCCCGTTGGCGTAACTGTCATACAATTTAACCACTGGATGCGGCTCCCGTTCTGGTTGAGAAGGCTTATTGCATAGTGGACGATAAAATGTTTATTGGGTTGTGCCTGTTGGCAATAGTTTTCAGATGTTTTGTGTATTGAACAAGAATCCTCGGCTCTGTAAAGTTAATTCGGTTGAGCCTTATGAAATAAATTAATAAACAAACAAAAAATCTAGTGCTAAAACTATCAGGTAGTTGCCAGAATTCCAATTTTCTTCCATTACTCTTCTTGCTACAAAAATGAAATCATCAGTAGATCTGTTCGTTGTAAAGGCGTGGCTATCCGCAAAAAACTGATGTTCGGTCATAAGACAAAAAAAAAAAATACAAAGGCACTTATTTGTGTTAGACATATTACTAACGAATTAACACTAGGATCCACATTACTTGTTTAAAAAAATAAGAGCATTAATTGTTGAAAAACATATTCAGAATATACTCCACAAAACTATCAAAGCTATCCCGTTTTACGGTACTGCCTATTTAACGATATCTTTGTTCAGTCTTGTGAAAAACCATTTTCTTTTTACCTAGCTGGTTCAAAACGTGATTTAATTTTGTTTTCCGTCGATCTTGTTTTCCGTGCTGAGAACCAATGCTACCGACGCCAGGGTGGCAGCTCCCACACCTGGACCCTACCTATCGACCCATCAACTCATGAACCGGGGACCAACGGCTTTACTTCCCATCCGAAGGAAGGCGTGATCAGAGATGTTATGCCTCAGAACATCCCGGCGGCACCGACTGGGATTGAACCCTGGCCTGCTGGGATGAGAGGTTATCATGCTTATCACTACACCACCGGTGCCGCTTAGTGATTTCATATGATACAGTTATATTTATAAAAGGAACAATGCAAAATTGGGGAATTTAAGCAGAAAATGTTTTAAATATCAGTGGTGCTCATATTTCCCCTAATGGACTCAAGTAATATTTTGTTAAGACTTTAATGTTTTTTTTCGTTTTTAGTTCGTTTATTTGTAAGGCTCAATCGCGTTAGCTTTACGGAGCCGATAATTCATTGTTCTTTGTTTGTAACAAAATTCACTTAATTCTATGTCTAGTAGGAGTTGGGCCGTATACTCGCAGCTTACTCGAGGTTAGAGGGGTACATTGTCGAAGGATAAGAAAAGGGGAGGAGCTTTGGGGTAGGGTAGGTAAATCTCATCAGAGCGATGTCGCCAGTCTGAACGGTAGTGTGGTTCTAGATTCGTCTGGAGTTCGACCGGCTATGATGACTAGTGGGTGACGATGAGACTCATCAAGACGGGGGACAAGACAAACAAAAACTAATAAAGAGATACAAAAGACAAACGAATTAAATTCTTATACTAGACATTTGCAGAAGCACATAAATCGACTGCATATAGCAGAGATCGCGGGTACCCAACACGTCTCTGGTAGGGATATAGGGTTGTCTTCCTTGGGCCTCGAGGGTATTCAAATCTTTAATGTTTATTGTAAACTTGAAAAAAAAAATCGTGTCGTATACGAAACCAATGACCATTAATATATCTGCTGTAGGAGTATTAACGATAAGTTATAAGAAACTACTGACCGACCTTATTTTCTGATCCAGAAATCAATCATTTTTTGAAAAATTGAGCTGGTCTAACATTTTTCGAATATCCGCACTAGAGGAAAGTATTATTTTAGGCTACATAGGGGAATTTACGTATTCTCGGCAACCTAAGCAGCGACCTTCTTTCTATAGCCTTTTTCTCTATGGAACGCACACATATGCAGTATTGGTTTGTTTACAAACATTTGCTGCCAGCTGCTCTAACAATTTCAGTCGAAAGAATTGTCAAAAACTGTTTTGAAACGCTTTTACAAAGCTCCAATCTTCTCTAGTGAGAGCGAGTATTGTCGGCAACCAGTTTTTCTTCGGCAACCGTTCCATTTGAACTGCATGTAAATCTGCTGTTCTATTATCGGCAACTCGAAATCAGCTACAACTTGTAGTGCGTGTGTTTCATTTCAAGAAAACCCTGCTAGATTGCATTTTCTCAGTGGTAAAAATATAGTCAAATTGAAGCTGGAAGCATAAAGAATCGTTGTCATGCATTCAGCGAAGTGTTTTCGTAAGAAAATCCAGTGAAATAGTGTTTCAATTTGGGTTGCCGAAAATAGTCTGTCATGCCGAAGCCGTCATTTCCCCTACTTAGAAATAACTAATTGTACGCGTGACGGAATCCGTCGTTGACATTAAAAATGAGACGTGAACAAACATGTAATTGTAATGTAATATTAAGTGCTCCAAGACTGAAATGTTCGTTGCTCGACGAAATGTACGTTTGATTGAGCTATATTTCGCGTCTGTTATGACTTAAATTTATGTCGAAATTGACGCTGGTATATGTCACTCTCAGAGCACCTAAATTTAAATGATTTTTTCTAAGTGTGTAGAATGAAATGAATAGTGCAAGTAGGCTTCAAGCATTACACCTGTAACAGATGTTTTGTAAAATTCGTTCAATAAGTTGAATTTTAAGTAGGTGGCCACATTGTCCCATGAGCTAAAACAGCTCAGAAATTTGGACAAGTCGAGTTGTGCTACAACATAAGAAGAAAAACAAATCTGTTACAGGTGAAATCATTTAGGTTTCAGACCTTTCAGAAAAGTTGAAAAAGAAACGCAAGGGGAAAACACTCCCCATTCGTCCCCCATAGATCCGCCAGTGTTACACTTTTTTTCAGCTTGTGTGTCATTCTCCCTTTGTGACAACGACCATCAGTGAATCACAAAAGCATAACTTTTCCCAACGTCTTTTTTGTACTATGCTGAAAGAGCCGAATCAGCCGAGAGAGAGAGAGAGAGAAAAACATAGAGAGACACAGGAAGCAAAAAGTGAAGTGCCACAAGGCTTCAAGTATCATTCATTTGTTTCCTCAGTCCATTTTCGTTTTCTTTGGTCTATACATTTTGTCTAAATCTCCACTTTGAAACGGATCTGGCTGGCTCCGAAAAGGACATTGAGACACAAGAGCAGAAGCATGATGACCGTGTATTGAAGGCGGCAAAAAAAAAACTATGCTGATATTTTATTCATAGAATTTTTCTGCTGTCCCACTGCTGGCTGCCAGTCGAAAAATGCTTCTGCAATTGTTCGGTCTTTCACGTCTTTATTTTTCCGAGAGAAAATGTGTCTTTTTCTTGCCTTTCTCTCCCGTGTTGGGACCTTTGTTCTATCATTTTAAGACAATTTCTTTCGCTTTCTTGGTCGGGACTGAATTGAATTAGATGGTCTTAGCCAGATAAAAGCTCAATGCTGCTATGCTCTCGTTCCCTTCTTTTCCGGGAGCAGCTGCGGAATAAAGCGACATAATCTCGAAGAGATGCCCTCCCTTGAGTGTTGAGCTATTTGAATGCGATTACAGTGTTTAAAGAGTCTTAAAGAAATATTAAATTCGAAATAACATCATGACCTTCCTTTCTACAATGCTTGTTGATATCTTAAGAATGCACCTAATCAAACTGTTTTTTATTGACATCCGTGGCGCCATGAACCTTTGTGAATCACCATCTAACTCGTGAGTAAAGTCCTTCAAATTTAGAAGATCTCCATCATCTCGTTTCCCTGCTATAGCTTCACAATCTAAAACCACTGAACAAACACAAAATTTCGACTGTATCGTCGCCAAATGGTGTTATGTGGTAAGCTGAGCGATGTGATGCAACTCCAGGCAAAGGCTGTTTTCACGAACAACAAACCAGTCTGGAACTGTTGCTACATCGTCTCCTAGCCAAGCAGCAAGAAGAAGGTAACACGTGCACCGTGGTGAGGCGACAACAAAACGAACCAACTAAACTATTTGTTATTCAAATTATCCACAAATAATGATGATAAACCCTATAACATAAATAATAAAGGTGAGCCACGGAAAAGGCATCCGTCTCACCTCGTGCTGGAAGCTTCCAGCTGGTGAACAGAACAAGAGGTGTGATTGTGTTTTGTTCGCTCCAGTTGTGGTCGCTGCGGTTAATTTGGGACGCCGCCGTTGGGGCTTCAATGTTAGATTGTTGTGATGGAAGGGTTAACCGAGCTTGCGGGAAAACGGTACATTGAGTTTGCTCGGCATTCCGTGGCATAGAAAATGTCATCTTTTCAGAGCACGAAAACTAGTCGACTGATCAGAACATTATAAAAACTCATATCATGATCACATTATGGGACCTTTCAATTGTAAATTGCATGTCATGCTGTAGGCGATGGGTTCGATTTCTGATTCAGTTGAGGATTTCTTTGCTCAGAAAGCTCTCATTTTTAGTCAAATTCGACAGCTAAAGCGCTCTTGAAGAGACCCATATACAATTTTCCAATTTCGCTGGAATGTCAATTCACGACATGCTCCTACAATTCCACATTTAGCCACTAATCCTCTCACGTCAACAGCTCTTGACCTGCGGCAATCCAAACATAAATACCGTGTAGCAAATAAAAATACTCTCTTGCCAATCCGTGGGTGGTCAACTCTTCAAGGCTCCGTCTTTCGCCTGCGCCATCGTTTACCAACCTTCTCCCGAAAGGGCCCCTCACCAGCAGCGTACTTTCACATTCAAATTTTTCATCGGTTATTCCGCACCTTTCCATAAATACGACGATTAACGGGGCAGCAGCATCATCGACGGCATAGGGCTACCTTATTTATACAACCCGCCGCCAACCAACAATCATGCACTTTATTTTCATTTCCCTCTCTCTCTATCTCTCTTCCTTCCCACAGATATCAAGAGGCAAATCAGCATCACGCCAAAGTCGATCCGCGTCGAGTTGGGTGGCCGGGCGGAGATCATTTGCAGCGTGAACGCCACCCCGGTCGCCAAGATCTCCTGGCTCAAGAACGGCATCCCCCTGCTCGCGAACGCACCGGTGGTGATCACCGTCGACGATAAAGCACTGATCGCACACGTCACCATGCAGGTAAGTTGGAAAGCAACATATGCGGGTATCGATGGTGGGGGAGAAATAAAATCGAATCAATCAACCACCTGCTCGGTTCTTACGTTACACTGACAGGGACCGGCTCGACTTGGCAGGACATCTCCCATCATCATCAAATGGTGCGTTTTTACCTGCACACAATTTACCCGTCTGTTCTACGATCGAGCGCTGCTGATGGTGATGAATGATGGGTTCGATCCAGTTCCAATTTGTAACGCTCATCGAAAAGGATTGGACCCAGCGGGGGTTCCCGCCGGGAACTTGTAGGCTTTCCCAATGGTATCTTTTGTCTGGTTGTGAAACGGCATGCAACGGAGAAGATGCCAGCAGGATGCATTGGAAACAGGATACCCACGGAGGGTCGGTGTACCTTTATGATGAAGAATGATTTTCACAAAAAGGTTTCCAAGGGTTTCTCTAATCTTCGTAATCAGCTGAGCACAATGGCAGCATCCCTGAAATGATGATAGCCCTCGTTCTTTGTTTGGTGTGATTCTACTTTTTTCGGTGGTGTATTGAGGAACCTTTGAAAAGATTCTCACTTTCGAATGTTCATTAAAACGTTCCATAATATTAATGATCTAGAGCAGAAAAGTTTTCAGTTATCATCAAAGATAAATTGGCTATCGGTATATTTTTTCAATATTCTATGAAAATTCAAATCACGCCAAAGTAGTAGTACTTATAAAAGCCCTTCATATTTGAATTTTTTTTGGTTTTTAATTATTCAATATGATTTTTTTTTTCTATTGACAGTAGTTTTCATTATTCCCCTTTCGGACATACAGTAATGACCCAATTTTGTTAACCACCTTTTTGAAAATATTTTCTGATATTCTACGAAACCTGTGCGCAAGCATAGAATCTTCAAAAATCTTTAAAGTGCTTTAAATAACTTTTAACAATTGAGATCTCTAAGACCAACAAGTTTAGAAAATGTTGCTCCCTGGAGTAATATTAGATATTTTGAAGGTTTGATATAGAACGCAGTGTAAGTACACAGTCCTAAGAAAATGTTAATGATTTTGTTGTCTTGAACAAAATAGAGCACTCACTGTTCTTTTAGCAATTCCTTTTTATTATTAAGGATAGCGCTTCAAAGCTAGCAGTAAGGGTAAACATTTGTCTCAAGTGCATTTGAGTAACATTTAAGTTTGTCTTATAATTCCAGTGACCTCAGTAAATTTATCTACTTCTGGACAACTTTTTCGACAGTATTTTCTTGTATTTCTATTGGTAAGTTTACTTTACGTTAGCTGTAGGATTTTGATTTATTAGTTTCACGCGTTTATTGATATTTAACTATAGCTTTAACCCAATTTAGTAATTTAAGACCATAAATCGAAATTATTTTTGCCTTTAATTAAGCATTAAGTAAGTCATTAGCTGGCTACTCAAAACTTTGAAGGAATGCAATAAATGTAGTTCACTGTTGCTTTTCAGAATGATAAATAACTAATGTTATAAGTAACAGCATTCAAACTACAAAATACAGTCTCAAATCAATTAATAAAAAAAAAACTGTTCGCACTGATTAATCGTACATTTTGTTTTTTTCCTACATTCAATCGTTGACATTCCTCTTGTCAATACAGAACTTCAAACCTTCCTGTCAACCTATCGCCTATTAGCGAATGGTTCAGAGTCCTTGCGGGAACGAGTAACGGAAGAATTGACGCTCGTAAGGCCTTCGCCAATAGCTTTTGGTACATAGAAAAAGTGTTATGATCTTGGACATAGAATTTTTATTTTCAAAGTTTGGGCAAAGGATTTTTTTTTTTTGATTCTTGATCATAAGTCTATTGAAAAATACAATACAATGTCCAATCACAAGTCCATAAACTGAAAAAAAAAACTCAAGATGAAACTACATGATTTTTTTCTTAGTGTTCATTTTAGGCTTTGATATTGGAATAAAATTTCTGTGATTGTGATGTTACAATCAAAGAGACTTTGAAAACATGATAAATGGTGGGCATGTTTCTGGTGTCCTTGGGAAAAATAGTCCGTATCTTTTATTCACACCAAAATCTATCATGAAGCAAATCAAACTTGAGTATTCAGGACAGGGGTGCCAGGTGTTTTGAGGAAAAGTCTTCTAAGAGATCGAATAAATGTTTGCAAATCTGTTCACTGTTTCTGGTGTGGGGAGAATGCTTTGTTTTTTTTTCTTAATTTGCTTTCCGTCGATCTTGTTTTCCGTGCTGAGCACCAATGCTACCGACGCCAGGGAGGCAGCTTCCACACCTGGACCGGACATATCAACCCATCAACTCATGAACCGGGGACCAACGGCTTTACTTCCCGAAGGAAGGCATGTTCAGAGATGTTATGCCCCAAAACATCCTGGCGGCGCCGACTGGGATTGAACCCAGGCCTCCTGGGGTGAGAGGTAATCACGCCTATCACTACGCCACCGGTGCCGCTAGGGATTTTAATGTACATATTTTTTAATTCGATATCATTAATTATAATCAGAAAAGAGAGATACTTTTATGTGTGCAATCTGCAAAGCTTTTCAAAGTATCTGATATTTTTAATTTCATAGAAATTGTTTTAAGTCTGTTAACGCTACTGGATGAAATACTTGCCATAATCACGAATTTTGCAAACAAAATTAATAAAGTTTAACATTGTGCTAGACATTTTGAAATTTAATTTATTGAGATCCGCGACAAATTTCTTAAGATTTGATTATTGATGAATCTTCAATACTGTGAAATTTAATGCAAATTTCAATATGATCATCAAATTTCTCAAATGCTGAAGAAAAGAAAATTTTATAGTGGTGATATTTCTATTCCTTGACCTTAAAAAAAGAGAAGCTTGAAGAGATTTTCAAGATTCTGAAACGAAAATTCAAATTTCGGATTTTGAAATGTTTTGCAAGATCCCAGATTTTAAAACAAATATCAATATTGAAGGTTCTTTGGAAACTTTCGAGATTCATGGGAAGGAAATATTCATGATTTTAGAATTTCGTGACATTCTCAAGGTAGAATTTCAGAAGAATATTGAGTAGAAATTAAAAGGAATTCTAAGGAGTATCCTAAGAGAGCATTGACTGGGGCTTCATTTTCATTTTTAACAGTGTTGGGAAAATATAAAAAAAAATCAAATCTAACCCATGTCCAAGATCACGCTTTACGACAAAAATCAACAAGCAAACAACTGCGGTTGATTTTGCAAGCTGTGATATCGCAGCTCGGAATATCAACCTAACAAAACTCACCAGCTGCAAATCTCAACAAACTGTGGTGAGATTGTGTTTAATCATGATTTTTGCTTTACATCCAAACGCAACCGAGACCTCCATAACGGCTGGCAGCAGTCACTTCGTGTCTGCCATCGGTGAAGAGAAAAAAGAGATAGCAGACTATCGGCAGCAACGGAATCATTCTTGTGTCGAGTCAACTCTCAGCTTGATTTTTGCACGTTGTGAATAGTCTCGCAATACCAACAATACCAAATGAGCTTGTAAAATCAATATCAAGCATGATATTTTGTTTCAATATCCCGCATGTATGTGACAGGGAAAATATCATTTGATTGATGATTTTGCCAGCACTGGTATTGAGTGATTCCTGGTTAATGCTCAGGAGATGTCCAAGGGAGTTCTGAGCTTTAATTCAACTATAGGCAGAATTAAAAAGTGGGAATAAAATTTTAAAAACTATTTAAGCATAACTTCTAAGCAAATATGAGAATAATTCCAAGGGAATTCTGAGAGCATTACATTTTAATTCTGAGTAGAAATTCAACGGGAGTTCAAAGCATGATTCCACCGGAAAAAATGAAAAAAAACCTAATAATTTTTTTTTGTAGATTTATTTATTTGCACAGGCTCAATCTTATGAACTTTACCTAGCCAAGTTAACATTTGCGTTACACATACTTAATCATAATCTTAAATTTGGACTTACAGGAATTGAACCGAATACTCGTCTCGAGTTTAGTAAAGATTTACAATTTTATGGATGGGTAGAGCGAGAAAGAGATTAGACATATGATTTACGATACACTATTTCTAAAACGTGAACTTATTTATAATCAACTTGATATCAGTAGTGTAAAAAACTTAATTAATTTTTAAAAAATTGGACTTTGGCTGATTTTGGAATTTTCAGATATAATCCTAAACCGGACCTAGATTATGTAATACTCTAGTAGCCTCAAGTCCGTGCTCTGTCGCAATATTTCATTGTGATTTATCAACACTCCATCGGTGGGTTATGGGTTTATTTGAATGTACGTCATTAGTCACCCCTGCCATTAGAGTGCATATTGAAATAATTGCATAATTCAGATTACTTGAATTAAATTACTGCGTTCAAGTATGTTTATGAAATTTGCATTTTTCATAAATTTGGCAAGTTATATATTGATACATTCGAACCATTGCCATTTGGTATTTGAGCTAAGACAGAATAGGATGCGGCGGTTCCGCTTAGGGGGAGTGTGACCCATGTTATGCTTTCCATTTATTTAATAGTTAAGGTAGGCTAGAAATGCCAGGTTCACAGTGAAAGAATCTACCGGGTGGTGCCCGTTCACTAATCACTTTTGTTTTTAGATCAAAGTGAGATTCCCATAGTTTGTAAATTTATTTTTCATGAATGTGTTCAGCATTCCTTTGCGCTAGTGTAAAGGTTATTATCATTGTGAAAAAAAAAACATCCAAAACAATGCTGTACGAACTGATTTCGTTCAATATTAATGCCTATGTTCCTATGTAGTGCTCATGTCGTAATTTTCTGGCCATTTAAAGCATTATTTGTTGGTAAGTTATTGAGGCTGAGCGCTGATTTTGAACCCATTTTGTGAACCTTTTCAACATATTTTTAATATGAGCGATGAATTGAGGTCAAACAGTGAATGAGCACCTCACGGTAGTTTGTCTGGCGAATGGCGAATGGCGACCTTACGCTTCTTTCATTCCTTGTCTATGAAAGTGGCAATCAAAAAATATATTTTATATA